AGCAAACAAAATACATACAAATTCTGTTCTACAGACCTAAGGAAGTGCCGTTCCACATCAGCTCACCTTATCTTTTGTCTTGTCTATAATCACGCCCAGGGAATCCACACGCTACTTCATGCCCAGCTTGTGAGTCAAAAAAATGGAGCATTGCAAATGGTAAGGGACATGAAAGAGGAGTTTTGCCGTGGAAGTGAGAGCCTGTGTTCACAGGACAGTGGGCAGTACTGCAACAGTGGGGCACGGGGGGAAGCAGAACTTAAGAATAATCATCTAATGTCTTTTATTGCCCCTCCCCCCACCCTGTTGCTCGGGTTGGACTTCCCTGATTTACACGGACTGAGCACTCCAGAAGGGAATTACTCACTACCCTGCAATCAGAACTTTTGAAGTATAAAAATATTTTCTCATTTCTCTGGTTTTTCAGATCTGCAGATCATAAAAGATTTAAAAAAACTGTTTTCTTTATGGCTGTTTTCTCTTGACTTTTGGTTTATTTAACAGGAGCTTGGAAATTAAAGAAACTCATTCTTTTAAGAGATGAGGTTGTGATTTAACTTTGTTGCATATTTGACAGATGTCCCATTTTTTAGGTGCAAGTCATCTGCACAGAACTTTCTTCTGTATTTGTACAATTATAGGTTGGAATTTTGGGGTTACTTCTTTTTCAGGCAGCATATATTCTTAAAAGGAAATCGCAGAAGTAAACCCCCTGCTATCTGAAGTACTCAGATTTTTATTTAATTTATATTTAAATTATTTTTATTTAAATTTATATTTAAGAATGGGTATGGGCAAAGCACACAGGTTTCGCATCTCCACTTGCCAGTAAGGCAGCCCTGTCTGAGGGGTCCCAGACTGCAGGCCATTCCTGCAACACCTATATCATGCTGTTTTATCTGTACTTCTGATCACAACACTTTGGCAGGTTTGATCTCAATAGCAAAACCTCCATTATGGGCAATTTGTTAGACTTTTAAATTTACAGCAGGAGCCTAAGGGAAAAAGAAAGCTGAACTGGAAATTTAATTCATATTTCATAAGCAATTAAATAGTTACAAATTTTAAACAGAGGCTCACAAGTTTTGAGTCTGTTTCTATGCCTCTCCTCCCTCTCAAATCTATGGGAAAATGCTTAATTTAAATTCATACATCTTGCACAGATCAGCTATTGAGGTATTTTAACCAACTGTAATTTTAGGTTAATGACTACTTGCGATAATAATATTGAAAAATTATCTGATGTCTAGTGCATATTTTTGCTCTCAGAGGAATGTGTGCTCTATGAAACTTTAAAAAATGGTCCGCTATGATTTTTAGAAAAATATTAATCTATGTGCTTACCTAGGTAGATAAAATCAATTAAAGGCATTAATTAAATTTGGGCACTGATATAGCAATAAGCTATCCGGTTGAAGTGAATGTTATTTATTAAACCATCTAGAACAAATGTTTGAAGAGATTTGTATGACAGTTACCTCAATTGCAGCTTCCTCAGGACAAGGGCAGTTCAAGTACACGCCTGGCGAGTGTAATGCAGGGAAATAAGAAAGAGCCCTGAAGAATTCAGGTTAACTTGCTGCAAAATTTGCAGCATTCAGCAAGATAATCCTCAGGGCTGCATTGCCTTTCTGACAGGTGTATATCTGAGAAGGACAAGCCACTAATGTCATCTGCACACCATCCTGTTCCGTCAGACTAACTTGTGTTTGTAGCCTCAGCAGTTTTTATCCAGTCTCATTCTCTCCTACCCTATACAGTCGGCCTGGCTATTGATGCATTTCATTCTTACATGTGGCTTTTTCTTTGGTAGAACCACAAATCCTCGCTCTCACAGTCAGATTATGAAAAACCAGTGGAACGTCATCCTTAGGTGGCCCATTTTCTGCAATCAAACTTAAGGTATGAACTCTGATGTGTAGGGCACATAGGCCCTGCCTCAACAGGCACGCAGGGCCATGGCATCGTGGCCATAAATAGGCACCTTGACCCGTCCTGCTGAAGAAACTGGGAAAGCTCAGCAGCACACAGTCAAACACATCATCTTGCTATGCCTTAGCTTGTATTTCAACAACCATTTATACCATCACAGTTAGCCAAAACAGTGTTCAACACACATCACTGCTTGTCCCATCAGTGGCCCAGCTGATTAAGACACTTGCCTGCAGAGGACAGACCACATTTGCCAGCAAGTTCTGTTACGAAAAATCCCCAAATCAAGGCATTTCTCTGATAGTGAAGCTAAGTAATTCCTGTGGCACTGCAGCTCTTTTGGATAACTATCATTGGATAAGTTGTCCATGAGAAATAGCAACTGTAGAGGTTATTGGTGTTAAACTAGAGGCCTAATACAAAAATGAAGGAGGAGAGAGAAAGTAACAGGCCCATTACTGCACAAGAACCAGTAAGAAAACTGACAAGTAAGAACTTGCTAAGATGGGCATGAATACGAAAGCAGCCCATGATGCTTGGGTTAAGCTGCATGTGAGATCATAGGGGTACAAGCCCACTTTGGTCAATCAGACTGTAAGATCTAGTCAATGCTTTCCATTTTTCTTAAATGACTATAAGGATTTGGAAAATCCTTGGTGCAGGTTCAACTTCTAGATTTTTAGAAAGGAAATGAGTCTTTTTCTGGATGACAGAAGAGACAGTATTAGCAAACTCAACATCACTTCAGCAGACAGGAGAAAAAAGGGTATATTATCTGAACAAGAACTGGAAATTTCTAAAACAGAAGGTCACAGCAATCTAAAAAAAAAGGCAACTGAAGAAAGAGAACCTCAAGGACAGGGTATTTTTTTACTGCCCAGGACTCTAAGAGCTAACAGCTAGCATAGAATACTGACTCATTAATAGAAATCTGACTCCTCCTTTCCAGGAAAGGATTTTTTTTATCAATCATGAAAGGCTGCTTTTATAATCCACAGGAGAAAAGCATGCCTTTGCTCAGTGTGAGCACGCCATGAAACACCTACTGGCGTAGCTTTGTTTTGTATCTCACATTTACTTGCCACACAGGAAAACTGAGCACAGTAACTAACTCCATTAATCACTTCACATCAAGCTGGAAATATGAACAGCTTAAAACTAGCACAATCTATTCTATTGATTGTTTACATTGGCAATGGATTAACTTCCCATATATAAGATCCACTCTGTACTACCTTCTGCAAACATTCCTTTAGCCCACACTCAGCAAGTCCTCACCTCACTGAACTAAACTGCATGAACTACAAATGAAACTGAGTCAAATCCACAGGGACTAGAAACTAAACCAACTCTCTTGAGACTGACATGTGACCTCTTAATGAAACTTCTCTGTGCTTCTGCCTCCTCTCTGGGAGGATCTCAGGCCTTTAAGAGGAATACGGGTGGAGATGGGATGCTCATTCCCATCAAGGAGAACAGCATTATAACGTCCCCCAGACTTCTGGAAACTGGTTGCTGTTATGGCCTCGCTGCAGGGTGTTTGCTGTGCTGTGTATCTAGAGATACTTTATCCAGGACTTCCTTGGGGTGCAGAACCACCTTCATATCACCAGGTGATTTCTACAGTCTTCAGCAGTGAAAAGTTGCACAGACTGAAGTTTATTTATCCTCTTTAGAGCAAAGGAATTACAAAGAGAAGAGAAGCAACAGCTAATTTGAAATAACATTCCATATTATGTACATAGAGCTTCACGTATTTGATTCAAAATGAGTGGTAATTTGAAAAAGGACCAATGGGAGCCCCAAACCCTCCTGAGTAATTTCCTAAAGAAATGTATTTTCTAGAAATTAAACTTTGCTTTCTTAATGAACACATTTTGCAGAGATGAGTTATTGGTGTTGTCAATTCAAATTACCATTGGATGCTCCTTGCAAAAGAGCAGTCCCTTTTGAGGATTTATTGTAATATAAAATAGCAGACAAGGATGCATCTTATTTGTTTGTTTCCCCCACAAGGATATATCATTAATGTGTTTGTAAGAACTAATATGCATGGCCTCCAAATTACATCTGTGGAGTCATTATAAAAAGTGCTTACTGTATTGCCATATAATTAGATTCCCTATACTGAATATATTATTTCAAAGCTGTCAGAAGAAAAATTACAGACCTTGTGTAACTCCACAGGAGTTGGTGACATGATTTCTTTCATTTCTTGCTTAATTTTTCTCAGAACCATGGATTTTCTCCCCACATCTGACGGCAATGTGTTGCTACGAGTAGCTTGACTGTAATGTGGCCTTACAGAACTTCTCTCCTGGAAGCTGGCTTGTCTTCCCAGCTGGCTACGAGGCTGTGGGTTTTCATGGTTCAAACTCATTGTACTTCCTGACATAATTGTGGCCTAGAGCATTAATGAACAGGTTAATTTTTAACACAGAATGCGGGTTAAGTAAGCGGTTAATTCATAGCAGTTGGAAAAACATCTCTATTCTTTGTTAAAACACACAATCACTCAGGGCACAGCAAAAGGCAAGAGGACAGATGTTCAATCTGCTTGCAAGTCACTATAAAATAAAGGACCACAACAAAACACAACAACAATAACAGAACCCTACAGGCAAAAGTTTTCAGATGGCATTTCAAACTAAAATACTGAGCACTAGAATGGCTATGCTTGTAAGCTTGTCCCCTGGCAGGCAGACTGAAGAGTGCGTAGTATAATTGCTTACTTTAAAAATATTTTACATGTAAATAAAACAACATTTAATTTGCGGCATAATTGCATTTGTTGGAATTGGAGCTACAAGAAGGCGTTTATAATGCAGACTCTGTGCGCAAGGTGAAAAAAACGTGAGTCAGCAGAACATGTAGGCAGGTGTAGAGTCAGCACTGGCAGAGAGTGTGCCTGGACACCCTCCCAGGCCGGGTACAGCTCAGTGCAGGTAAGCTCCCTGCCTGGAAAGACATTTGGCATAATGTACATATTGCAAGGAGGGTGAATTCTTGACAGACGACGATGGGAGTCATCGCACCCACTGGGGGGAAGGGACTGCCATGAAAAGCACCCGTGCACGAGCCTCCTCCCTTAGGCAAGGCTTTCTGCTCTGGGGAATGGAGGCAAACACACCCTGGCATGGCCACTGCGCAGAGGTGCCGCCGTTGGGATAGGCTACGCTGAATCCTGGTTATTATTTCCTAGTTATTGCCGATGGACAAGCGAAAAGGGAAATTAAAAGGCCACAACCTGAATTCTGACTCGGACAGGATGCAGGCAGCCTTCTTGAATATGTGTAGTAAAAATAAAGGGGGGGGAGAAAAAGGGGAAAACAGGCAAATAACCTGACTCTGGTGAGCATGTCTCTTGCCCTTCCTTCTCCCAGCTCCAGCCCTACTTTCACTCTGTGATAATATATTGTAGCCTCAACAGTCTGTCTTGTGCTCAGAGATGACTGATATTACTGCCTGATGGAGCAAAACCATCCAGAGGACTTGGCAAACAACAGTTTTCTTTGCTCTTTGGCTGAGGACCTTGAAATGAAAAACGATAAGGAGTCCTTGACTACGCAATGGCACTTCATAAAATAGAGGCATCGCCGTTCTCAGCATCCTGTCATACTGAATGAGTCTTGCTTTCATTTTCAGAGCTGTGGGATGTGCAACAAGACGATGCTATAAATGATACAGCATCTACAGTTCTGAATTTAACTTTTGTGAAAGGCTGAGAAAAATTCAATGTGTTGAAGTAAGTGAATTCTGGTCAGCATGAATGATCTATTTCCATTTCAAAATGATCTATTTCCATATCCTTTTATTGTGCTCTGAATATTGAAAACTGCAAGAGAAGCCTGCGGTACTGAACCATATCTAACTATGGAATTAAACCAGTATAACATTTTCTCCTACATTTCTCTGGTTTGCAATAACAAATACATGAGAATCACTTTTGCTACCCGTACATGCAATACAAAAACCATAAATCTGAGGAAGTAAATTAATCTAAACTGAAAAACTTTCACCCAGTTATGCCATTCACATTCCTCCTGACTGCTAAAGGACTTTATATAACATAAAAATGAAAATGAGATTCTGCCAGTTTTGCAGCTCCAGGAATTTAAAAGAACATAAAAGAAAATATTTTAGGACCTTTCATTCTGTAGCTTTAAGTGGCAGTATAATCTTAATTGTTCTGATTAGACAACTTAGAGAAAAGGTGATTAGAAAAATAAAGACTCAGAGTTACTCTGTCTCTGTTCCCTTCTCCCTCTGTTCCCCCCAACCTAACACAAAGCATGGTTAGATTTGCAATTAACTTTGGGATGAAATGTGAAAATTTGTTGCATAGTGAAGAAATCGCTATATAATGAACATTTCTCCCATTGGCAGCTTTTTTTTTTGCAGGGTGGTAAGACTGCAGGTAAACATTTTGAAAAGCCAATTTTCTTTTATGTTCATCTTAATCAAATTAAGTTTCAATTTAAAAGGCAACCTACAACATGCTAAGGAAAGCTGCACAAAGCGTCTGTCAGAGAATGGGATGCATTGCTGCAGGAGGGTTTATGCCCACTCCAGAAGTTCTGCGCCATTTGCTGCCTGTGCAGAGGCAGCACCGAGGATTACGCACAGCAGAAGCTGCAAGTCAAAGCTCTGAGGTGAACATGTTTATAGAATTTGGGTTGCATTGTACAAAAGAAAACAGCTCTGGTTAGGGGCAGGGGAGGCAGCTGCACAAGCACAAATATAAAGGTAAAGGGTAGGTACCAAGAGAGTCATGTTTCTCAAACACAGACGCCTGTCAGCCTTGTCCTGTGGAGAGGGGTTAAAGCTTTTAAATGAATTGGTGTGATTAGTGCAACTTAAAAGAAAAGAAAAAGGAGAAAATAAAACGAAAGTAAACCAAACCAAACCAAAACCATTATATTTCTCTATAATTGGAAAGAAAGGTTAAGATTGTTCTACCTCTAGTTCCCTCAGAATTCCTGACTGGCCACAGGTCTCTAAATCCTCCAGAGCCTGAGACCAGAAATTTTCCTCCTGGTCAGCCTCGGTGTTATCATGGGTACCTGCGAAGCTAGATTTACAATGAGAGGTTAAGAAAATGTGGACTTTTTTTTCCCTCAAAAAATATATTTTACACACGTGCGTTGCCACAGATTGCACCTTGAATGACAGAAGGTTACAGTAGGTAGGCTGGAGAGTGGGGAAGAGTCGCCCATCAGGAGAGGCTGGATGAGCATGCAGAGCACACGACAGACAAGTCTTCTCATAACCTGGCAGTCACTAGCAGCTGGCAGGATCTGAGCAGCTAGTTATTCGGTAAGGAGATAAATGGATTCCAGGAACAATTCAATACACATTTTTACTGGGTTGAAACGGGGACCTCCCTATGAAAATTAATGAATCAACCAGTAGCTGTGTGCAGAGCTGCTCCATGCCATGAATATTTGCAATAAAACCTTTCAACCTCGTGGACTTCTCCCGGGGAATAGGAAAAGAGCCCTCATTTTTGCAAACAGCATTTTGCAAAAGAGGGATGGTGGTGCTTTTTACCCGATTCCTTCAGCCTAAGCTGCATTTATCATTATCAATTTAAGCCCACCTGGCTGCCATCATATAAACTGCTCCAGTCATTTCATACACAAACACAGGGAAACTCTTGGGGATGCAACTGTCTTGCGTGGAGACTTAGGTCTCTGGTGTTTTATGAACGCACTGAAGCCTTACTTCTAGCGCTCCTGAGCGGGATGCTGGTGACAGCGATGATCAGGGAAATTGCCCAGCAAGAGAGGTCTGATAAAAAATGCCAACTCTGGACTGCAGCAACACCGCCCAAAGCAACACCATCACAGTGTATGTGTATAGGGGGAGGAAGCAGCAGTTTTTGGCTGTCTTAGCAAGGGGAATTGGCTCAATGAGAGTTCACACAAGCACCAGAGCTGCTGCGCGGGAGGGGGCTGATTATGTGAAAGGCAGAGGGGAAAGATGAGGAAGGAAAGAATGAGAATTCGCCCTTTTGGTGGCAGCAAGCTGTTACTTTGCAGCAGCTGCCCATGGACTGCAGCTAGTGGTGCTTAACAGCACATAAACAGAGCAAACACTATTATGGAAGCATCTGAGGCCTTGCTCGACAAACAATGTATTACCAAGAATAGCATGGATGTAACACTGTTAACAGAATAGCTTTTAAATAGGAGAATTGCCCAGCACAACGGATGACAGCTCCAATGCCTCAAACACATGATACTCTGCCTCAGAGATGCTTTCTCACAGTTACGATCAGTCAAGCAGACAATGGTCAGCCATTTCCATCTCTTATTGCAATGATTCTCCATCTAGCACCAGTGTCTCTTCTAAGATATTGCAATAGATACAGCAACAGTGAGAATACCTACTCAGATCACAGCTGCAATTCCTCCCAGGCAAGATAAGAAAGTATTTAAAACACGATTTTAGAAAGATGCTTGACTTCTGAAATTAGCTCTTTCAATAAACCTAAGTAGTTGTCTCAACAGCCAATGTTGAACACAGACTAATTTATCCATTACAATACTTTTCTTTATATTGCATACTAATATTATAATATGAAATGGAACTTGAGTTCATTAACAGGATTATTTGAGGCAATTATCTGTGACAACAAAGACTGGTTTTCCTAGAACTGGAGGTCCATTTATTCTCTGACTTCCGTGAAATCTGAAATCATGATGCCTATAAGCCTAGACTTCCTTTTAGCTGAAGCAATCCCTTCTTCTGCCCTCACCTCCTCTTTTGCCTTTTCTCCTAGTCTTGTCTCCTGGTGTGTGAAATGCTCAACTTTTCCATCTCCATTACAGCCACATGAATAAGCTGATTTGTAGCTGAGTTACTGCACCAGAAAAAACAGAGGTACGAAAATAGTTTTGCATCTAGATGGCTTTTTTTTCTGAAGCCTGAGAGATTGATTTTATGTCATGTGAAATATTGTTTGACCTATAACGAATATATTTGGTTTTCTGATGCTTATTCAAAGAGCCATCAGAAATTTAGATGCATAAAAATGCTGAAGGAGAGGTAGTGGGACAGATATGAAGACACAGGTACCTGTGATTTGGTTCTTATTGCCATATGAGAGACAAAATCTTTTTTTCTTTGTTTTTTTTTTTTTTTTAATTCAGGAGGTGATAGGACGTTCTATGATCTGGCAGGCTCATTCCTGTAAGTAGTGTTTTAATGTGCAAAAATTCTCCCTGGAGCAGGACTTATAACAGACTTGTCCTACCTGCCAGCCATACACATACACACCAGGCTACAGAGCAGTTTAAGCTCTCTGGTTTCATTTGCTTGCTAAGTGAACTTTCATTGTCACTCAATGGCATGTTAATGATGTATTTTCTGCTTTTACCCTGTTTTTCTCCTTTTTCTCCTTTCAACTGTTTTTCCTTTCTTCACCCTTCCCCTGGCCTGCCCTGAGCCCAGCTGGATCTCACTCCTGTCCACTCCTTCTTCACCTACCTGGATGTATTCCACTCTTCCAGCTGTCCCCCACCTTTCCTTTGCCCACCAGAGGCACCTCTCCACATCTTGCTCTCTTTCTTCATGCTCCTGATGCTCTCTGCCCCCGATCTTTCTACAGAAGTTTGCTTTAAATGGTTTTCTTGATTCTCTCCCAATGTCTCAGTCTCCTTCTGTTGCCACATATTCTTGGAAGCTGTGCTACACAAAATAAAGGTAAGAAAAAATTACTTTTTTGTGTTATAGAAGGAGACAAGTTGCTTAGCTAGAGGCAGAGAAAAGGGGGTTTTCTGGGGATCCCTGTAACAGGCTGGAAGAACAGATATGCCCTTCACAAATACTCCAGCACTTCGTATAGGAACACCATCAGGTGTGGCATAATCCATTTTACAGATAAGGGTTAAAATAATCATTATTTTAATTCGTGCCATATATCTCAGGTGTAAGTCACATTGACAAGTAGAACAAGACTCTTTAATATGCATACTTTCTGTTGAACCGTGCTTGAAAATGGTAGTGGAATACAAGCTTTTCATTTAGAAGATGCTGTGTTTTACGATCCAGCTTTCCGGTTCATTGCTCATCAACTTTTTCAGCCTATGACTTATGTAACTGCAAAACAGGAGGCA